CAAAGGCCGAGGCCTTAGTGGAATTTCTAGTCCTGAAGTCTGCCTCTTGCCTCACATCTTGACACTTTTCCCTACACACCCTACATTCCCGCCCATGCTGACTCCCTGCTGCTTCTAAACAGGCCATGCCCTTCCTCATCTCGCTCCATTCCCCACTCATTGTTACCTCTGTCTCCTCTGCCTGGAGGGCTCCTGCCCATCTTTAGATGTCTGTGCCGAATGTCTCTGTAGGGGGCTGGACTTTCTGCTGAATCTTCTCTGTTTCTGAGCCCTGGAACACCATGCTTACACCCTCTCAAGGCTACACCATTAGGATAGCTATTACCAAAACCAACAAACCAAAAAAAAAAACAACCTGGAAATAACAAGTGTTAGCTAAAATGTGGAGAAGGGCCCTAACCAGTTTGGCTCAGTGGATGGAGTGTCAGCTTGCGGACTGAAGGGTCCCAGGTTCGATTCCAGTCAAGGGCATGTTTTCTCTCTCATCAATGTTTCTAACTCTCTATCCCTCTCCCTTCCTCTCTGTAAAAAATCAATAAAATATATTTTTAAAAAAATGTGGAGAAAGCCCCACCGGCGAGGCTCAGTGGTTGAGCGACGTCCTATGAACCAGGAGGCCATGGTTCAATTCTCTGTTTGGGGCACCCAGGTTGTGGGGCATGCAGGAGGCAGCCAATCAATGGATTCTCTCTCATCATTGATGTTTTGATCTCTCTCTCCTTCTCCCTTCCTCTCTGAAATCAATAAAAAACATTATTTTTTTAAGGACAATACTGTATGACTCCACGTGCATGAGTTTCCTAGAGAAGTCAGATGTATAAAGACAGAAAGTAGAATAGTGGGTGCCAGGGGCTGGGGGGTAGTGGCGAAGGATGGGAGTGGGGAGTTATGTTTAATGGACACAGAGTATCAGTGTGGGAAGATGGAAAGGTCTGGACACGGCTATGGTGATGATTGTACAACAATGCGAATGTGCTTAATGCCACTGAACTGTACACTTAAACACGATGAAAAAGACAAAATGTACGTTATGTATATAAGGCACTCAAGCCCAGAGGGCCTCGGGCATTTCCACACGAGCACAGTACTTGGTGCTAATTGGTGCTCAGTCCATGTTGGTTGATATAAAAGGGGGCACAAGGTGGATGGTGGGGAGGCATGTGCAGGTCTCGGGCTGGCCCCATGCCAACTCCTCTCTCTCAATACATCCAACTCTCCCCTGTACCCACGGCCCCGCTGGAGGGGGCTGCAGACGCCTACCCAGCACTGTGGGCTGATCCCTCATCAGCATCACCGAGCGAGCTTTCAGAATGACAGGCGCGTACTTGCCTGCATCCTGTGTTATGTGGGTCACACAAAGGGAAGAACTTCCTCTGTGCGGTGAGGCCCTGGAAGGTCTGAGAGTCTAAGGTTTTAAGGCCATGCACCTACCAGTCTGTACGATGAGGTGGGTGTGGTGTTTGGAGGGAGGAGAGAGCAGTGGTTTGCACAGGTCCTTTCCCTCTCTACAAGGTAACAGCGTTCATCACCTGATGAGGAATGTAGGGGGAAATTCTGGTTCCTACCCCTGCCATGGGATGAGCAAAAGCAAAAACGTAACATGTACCACAGATGCCTTCCATGTTTAGGTTCTTTCCTCAAAAGCTTATGCATGCTGGGGCCCCAGCTATGAATGCTAACAGAATCTCAGTCATGGCCTTGAACTCTCTGAGCGAGTCTTTGGAATCCGGGTAAGCTGCAGGTCACAGTCTGTTTGCTTCTTTCTCCCCAGCCACGCGCACAGGCTGGGATGGGCTCGTACTAAGAGCACTTAAGAACATGAACCCTGGCGTGTGGAAAAAGCCAGAGTCTGAATTCCAGCTCTTCCCACCCCCGTGTGATGACTCCGGCCAGGCATGTAACCTTTGTGAGGCAGAGTGTTTTCAAGGATCAGGATAGCAGAAATAATATTACTTATAGCCTTGTGGAGGAGATTGGTTTGAAAGTACCTATTATGTAATAACAGCTCACATTTGTAGAGGCCAATGACTATATATCATTAACAGTTCAAACTGTGGCAGCGGGGGGGGGAGGTTGGGGTTTAATGGGGGGGGGATGAGGACACATTTGTAATACCTTAACTAAAAACAAACAAACAAACAAAAAAACCCACCAAAAAAAACAGTTCAAACTGTCGCCTGTGCATTGAATCTAGGGAATAGCATCACCCCTCCATTACAGAAAGGGACGGCTGAGGTGCAGTGCTAAGTGGTGGAGAAGGAATTTTGAACTCAGGGGTTGATTTCACCATGCTCTGCTGCCTCAAAATTATATTCTCATAGGAAGCTGTTTATCATTATATCCTTAGGGAATCACTGCCCATTCCACACACACACTCTACACATACTACACCTTTTCTCTAGCTTTCCTACCCTCCCATTTACTTATCTTTAGTGATAAAGGGGAAAAAAATCTGGGGGTCACTAGGTCACCAGGCAAAGACCGAATGACCCTTCCTGTTGTGTTCCTGGAGGCAAATCCCCCTTCCCCTTTTGCCCTCCCCAATTCACTCTCCAGGCTAAAGGCTCATCTGAGTTGCAATGGCCATGGCAGGTATAGGCTGGACGGGAGGGGCAGAGCTTTTAAACAGCGACAGTAACCTTGGACCAGCTTAGCTATGGAGGAGTACTTCTTTCTTTTCCCTCTGGTTCCCATACTAAGCCACAGCATTTATGATTAGGCATGTTAGAGTCCTAAGAGTCCCATCCTGTAGTCCCTTTGGACCAAGTTATGTCTGTTGATGTGCTGGGGCTAAGTTTCTGTTCCCCTTTGGGTACTTCCTTCTTTCTCTTTCCATTCCCATTCTTCCCTATTGTTCCAGCTGCTCCCCGCTGTGGTATTACATGGTCAAAGGATGGGGTGCAGAAAGGGCATTGAGGTTGGGGGGCGGGGGGGGGGGCGGAGCACGGTCCTCTGGATTGTGCATTGCTGACAGCACCTGCGTTGAGGAGAATTTCTTCCTATGGATCAGACCTTAGCACTTGCAGGGATTTCAGAAATGTTTGTGACCAATGGTTCTTATATAGCTGTCATTCTTGTTTTGGAGAATTTCTCATGTCATGAAAGAATCATTAGTGTATGACATGAAGACGGCTTCTCTCTCCTCGGCCTAAAGTCATCTTTCTTTCCAAGTGTGACTTTTCAGTGGACAGGGTTTTCCCGTGACTCACAGTCTCTTCTGCATCGTTTTGTTTGCTGTCGTAGCAGTAGATACAAAGACCGCCCTCTCTGTGTGCAAATGCATATCCCACAGCCTATGGATAACCCTATCTCATCAAGGGTACGCCATCTGAAAACTCAGAAGAGTTCTAGCCTCTGTCATCATGCATAAGGTCCTCAGATCACAGTAAAACAGAACCTTTTCACTGCCTGATGGTGCCAAGCCAGGGTGGGGAAAACTTCGAGAAGAGAGGTTGTCATGGGTTGGTGATTTGTCCTACAATATAACCCAGACATTCAAATCAACACAGGTTTCTACTTGAGGATTAATGGGATGTGGGAGATTTAAAGTTTATCTAAAATGAAAGTATAGCTCATAGCTCTTTAGGCTATTTCTGCCCAGAAATGGTGCATACTATACTTCTGACGTCAAGAAGAATACGTGGGTATATGTCTGCTCAGGATTCAGAGTCGGGGGCATGAGCATGGACTTTGGGTCAGCTAGAACTGGGTGCTGTCCTTTGCTAGCTGTGTGACCCTAGGAAAATTATTTAATTTCTCCAGGACTCGGTTTTCTCATGAATAAAAGAGATACATGAGGATAACAGTACATACTTCACAAGGTTGTGTATAAGGATAAGGTTGGTCTGTGAATGATGGAAAAAAGGTACATCAGTTACTGTAACAAGGAGATTTATTTCTCTTTCTTAAAAGTCTGGGCAAGTGGTTTAGGGCTGATAAAATGAATGCATGCTCCCTAGGAATAAGCTCCTTCTATTCTTTTGTTCTGTCATCCTCAACTTGTGGCCTCCACTTCACGAACCAAGATAGCTGCTCAAGCTCCAGCCATTACATTTTCATTCCAGCCGGCAGGAGAGAGAAGAGAGGAGGTGAAGAAGGCCCTACCTCTCCCCTTCAGCCACTTCCATCTACAAGTCATGAGCTTGAACTTAAGCTCATGAGCACAGTCAGCTGCGATGGAGGCTGGGAAATGTCATTTTTATTCCAGTGATGTGCTTAAATATCGGAGCTTCTTTACTATCAAAGAGGGGGGAAATGGGGATTGGCCTAAACAACTAGCAATCTGCCACAGTTCTTTTGAGATTTAAATGAGATGCTGCAGGTGGAGGGCTGAGCACAGTGTTGGCTTCAGAGTAGGCATTCAACGATCATTATCATCATCATCATCATCATCGCCACCATGAGAAGGTGGGGAATACTCCGAAACTTTGACAAGATATTTCCTTATTTGAACTTCATCTTGCTGCTAAAGTCACCCTTATCCAGCTCTCTTTTAAGGCACTGTGACTTTCATCTCTCATGAACGTCAGACACCTATGCCTTTAATGTGCCCTTACGAAACAAAACTATATAAAAGGAAAGCAAGGGGCCCAGCCAGCGTGGCTCAGTGGTTGAGTGTTGACCTATGAACCAAGAGGTCACGGTTCAATTCCTGGTCAGGGCATATGCCCTGGGTTGTGGGCTTGATCCCCAGTGGGGGGCATGCAGGAGGCAGCCAATCAATGATTCTCTCTCATTATTGATGGTTTTTTTTATCTCCTTCTCTTTAAAATCAATAAAAATATATTTTAAAAAAAGAAAAGAAAATGCAGAAATGCAAACATTAACAAAATAAAAGGAAAGCAAGGGAATGGTGACTTTAATTTTAGGTAGTGGATTTGCAGATGATTATTGCATTGTTAACATTAACTAATAAATAAAAGTAGAGATACATGGGCCAATGATCCAATGATGAGAGTGTGTCATGAATCAAGGATTATAATTCACCCAATCCTATGTACTTGAGGTCTTTAAATTGTCTTTATATGTGTACAATTTTGCATGACATATGTGTTTGCATGCAAATAACAGACAAAAATAGCATTTTCTATTTTCATAGACTTTTAACTTTTCAAGGGCTTCTGCACATATCCAGAAAAACTGTCCAAGTAGCTCATTACAGATGGTTGAGTTTGATGTTCCAGGACTTTGGACTTCTGTGTCCTGAGGGAAAATATTTCATTTAATCCTTCCGGCAGCTCTGCGAGGTAGGCAGGACAAATGTTATTATCACTGCTTTGCAGATGACAAAGAGGGAACTGAGAGGGCAAGGGGCTTTCGTAAGGTTTCATAGCTAATTAGTCCTGGACTGGAACTTAAGACTCGGCATCTCCTGCCGAGTGCTTCTTTCTTGCCTCCATCTCACTCCCCAGTTATTCACCCATTACACACTTATTCCGTGTCTGTCACATGTCAGTAACATTGCGCTTATGTATTTGTGTTTATACATGTGTGTGTTTTCTGGGCCTGACGTGCAGTTTATGTCATCTCTATACAAGCCCTTAGAGTCCTTGTATGCCCCAGGCCTGACCAGCCCATGTAACTCCAGGAGAAATCCCCAGCTGGGGTTTCTGCTATCTTGTTATTCCTAAGTCACTGGGCTTCAGCCGCTGCGAGGTAGGCAGGCAGCTTTGGTATCAGGGACAGATCCCCAGGCAGTGGGCTCAGAACGGAAGAGCAAGCCAGCAATGCCTCGGTAATGATAATGACTGTTTCATGATACTTTATAGTTTATGAAGGGGTCTTATAAACACCATCTCGTTTCATTCTCACTCAGCCCTAAAATAGATTTTATTATTTCTCTCTCTCTCTCTCTCTCTCTCTCTCTCTCTCTCTCTCTCTCTTAGGTGCAAAGAGAGGATAAATGACTCGCTCACGGTTACTCAATTTGAGGACAGACTTGAATTCAGGTCATTTGTCTCTAAATTCTGTTCTCTTTCCATGGTGCCCGGCCGCCTCTGTAAAAGCAAAAAGAGCTTACTGTCTTTCTAGCCCCGTGAAGAGGAGCAGGTGACAGCTCGGTGGCCAGCAGCAGGAAGCCCCCAGTGACCTTCTACAGAGGGAAAAAGACCAACTCAGAGCCCCGAGCGGCCTCCTATCAGCTGAGAAAGACAACGGAGCAGTTGGAGGTTTCCACCCTCCCCCATCCCTGCGTCCTCCCTTATCTCAGTCCGTGGGCATCTCCCAAGTGTCCTTGGGGAGGTGACAGCGAGACACAGAACCAGGCAAAGGGGTCTTCCAATCTCTATGGCCTCTGGCAGTCTCTGTGTCTTTGAAGAGTCAGGGGTTTGGGGAACTGTCTAACCGCATCCATCCTCTTGCACAGGAGGAAGCTCTGGTTCCTGCTGCCAGAGGCGAACCCCTCGGCCTGGTCTCCCAGACCTGTGTCTGTGCCCCTCTCCCGATGCTGTCCACTTCTCCCTGTCTGTCTTCTTCCCCACAGATTAACGCCCCCCCGCCCCGCCCCCACCAGGCTGAGCGTGGCACCTTGTCCTCAGTCAATGTGTGCACCACATGAACTCTGCCTGAAAAGAGCAAATATCTGTGTCAGGGGAGCTGTTTCTCTCCTTGGCCCACGGGGGGAGTCCTGTTCAGTCCACCCTTCACTACTTCCTGCCTTGCCTCAGCCCCGAAGGGCCCCTATTTTCCGGATGTCCCCTTTTCTCTTTCTTCCTAAGCAGGGACTCCCTGGACAAGGGGGCTCGATAGTGTTGGGGTGGGGGGGGATGTTAAAGGCCAAGTGTGGTCCTAGGTCATGCCCCGTTCTCTAATTTGGCCTTATCAGTAATTAATATCAGGTTTGGTCGCCACCTGTCTGGTTCCTTTGTCTTATTTCTCAACTGTTATACCGGTCAGAGGAGGGAGTAGGTCAGTAGGGATGTATTTAATGAGCATCTGCAAACCCCACCAGAAATGTGTACAGAGGCCTTCTGGCCGCTTATATTTATGGGCCTCCCCAGTCCTTTCCCACACACTATAGGTCCAGGTAGATCCCTCATTCTCTTCCCCAGAGATATAAGGGCTAACCTGGGACTGGAACGTCCCTTCTTCAAAAACACCCTCTTCTCCTCAGGTTGTAGGTTCAGGCTGTAGGTTCAGCCTGTAGGTTCAGGGTCTAACTTTTTCACATTGGACATTAGAACCTATTCACTGCACCTTCCCATTTGTTACCCTGTCTTCTAATTCTCTCTGCAACCCTATGACAAGGTGCTGCTATATTGCTCAGTTTCACACAGTCCTGGTAAAGCTCCCTGGATTCAGGCGGTCTACATCTCAATTCATCCTCTTCCACCCTGTCATATATATATTTTAAATTGATTTCAGAGAGGAAGGGAGAGAGAGAGATAGAACATTAATGATGAGAGAGAATCATTGATTGGCTGCCTCCTGCACGCCCCCTACAGGGTGGTGGTGGTGGTGGTGGTGGTGGTGGTGGGGATCGAGCCCTAACCGGGGCATGTGCCCTTGGCGGGAATCCAACCTGGGACCCTTCAGTCCACAGGCCGACGCTCTATCCACTGAGCCAAACCGGCTAGGGCTAAAGCAAATTGCCATGAAACAAATGTTCAAAGGAATAATTACTAAATTGTTCAAAGTTACTTAAATATTTACGGATAAACAATACATGCGTGAGGAAAGAAATGCAAACAATCAGAGGACATAGCCAAACAAGTACAAAATTCAGAGTTAAGATTTGCTGCACACCTATTCCTAGGAGGAATGGCCTCCAGCTCCAGCCCACCCCTGAGGTCGCATCCAGCCCATGTTTCCTAGTCATCCTTCTCCTTCAAAATACACCATCTCCCAATTGGCTGCTGCCAAGAGCCAGACAATGGGAGAAAAGTGGGTTTTCTATCTGGACTGTGCAGCTACTTTCGTACGCCTCCCCCTTCCCTTTGCGTGGCCCAGATTAATGAAGAACTAGGATTTCTCGGTCTCCCACTCCCAGGCTCCGGTCCCACAGCTCCCGGCTTCCAGCTTCCAGCTCCCAGCCCCCAGCCCCGCCCTCCCCGCTTCGGAGGCCTCCTGTCCTTCCCTTTAAGGCCAGCCCCTCCCCCCGCCCACCGGCCCCGCCCCTCCGCCCCCAGCCCC